AACGTTGCGAAAACGTTTTTTTCAAAGTATTATGTTAGAAAAAAACGTTTAACAACATTTTTTTCAATGTTTTAATTAAAAAATGTTGCGAAAATGTTTTTCTTAATAATATATTTAAAAAAAATGTTGCGAAACATTTTTCTGAAGATAAAGCTCGAGTCTAGTTTAGCTCGAGCCAGGTTTTTAATGGCTTAGCTCAGCTCACTTTAGCTCGAACCGAAATTTTTTATGGCTCGGCTCATTCTGGCTCAGGCCAGAATTTTTTTTTTGAGCCAAGCTGAGCCAGACTGTGGCTTGGCTCAAGCCGGCTCGTGCGGAGCTTTAGTGTCAAGGTGGTGCTAGTGAAACTGAAGCTGGTAATCTGAAAAAAGCAAGGATCAGTGATGTATGCGGCTGGGTTAAACATTCGTGAGATGCTATTTCTGACCAAATTATCTTTAATTCTTTTAAAAAATGTGCTATTTTGAATATGTTAGATGGATCTGAAGATGATATAGTTTATGAAGAAATTGACAAATTAATTACAGAATTTGAAGACGAAAATTTAGATGAATTAGATGATAGTACTAAAATTATTGACAATTATAATTCTTACCAGCAATAAATTCTTAACTCTGCTATAAGTTATAAATTGCGAAACTAATAAAATATATTTTCTATAAAAAATTAAAAAAAAAGAAACATTAGTGTGGTTTCTTAAATAAAATACTGAAGTTTCTTCTCATATCTACTATATTATATTTTACAATCTACACCCTAAAAATTCTACAAAAATAATTATAAAAGAAATGTTAGTACTTATTTCTTTAAGTAAATATAAGCGTTCCTCCTTTTGTACTTACAGTATTTTCATTTTAAAACTGAAATCCGTTCTCTTTAAAGGTGTTTTTTATAAAATTTAAAAATAAATATTTAATAATTAATACCAGTAATATTTTTAAATAAAAAATCACCAGTGAATTTCACAGGTCAAAAAGTGAAAAATCAGGTACCGATTGGTGACTGATTGATGCCTGATTTTTCACTTTTCGACCTGTGTTTTAAAAAAAATAAAAGTGGCTTTTTTAACGTATTACCAGTAGTTGCGCAATTTCAATTTTCAGAAGTGCTTATTGGAGGTGCTTATTTTTAATTTTTTACAAGTGCTGTTACAAATTACTAGGGGTGCTTATTTTTGAGGGGTGCTTATTTTCACGATTTTATAGTACATTAAAGATATTATAATTACTTTAGTTTTATATAAATAAAAATTATATGAGTTATAAATTTTTTGTTTTTTTATTTTACAATTTTAATTACCAATCCACTTAAAAATGGCACTATTTATTGATAATTTTGTAATAAAATTCAGAAGAAAAATTAAAAAATTCATTTTACATTATTTTGTGATTTAGTAATTGGATTTTAATAATTCTTTATGTTATTTTATAACTCTTAATATTCTCTTCAAATAAAAAAATCTTTAAAATTGAATTAATACATTATTAAATAAACACAAAAAACCATTTTTCAAAATATACTATATGGCATTTGAAACACATCTGAAAAAATATTTTTTACAATTATTTCACAATATACCAGTCCAATTTTAAAGATTTTTTTTATTTTGAAGAGAATATCAAGGGCTATAAAATAGTTAAAAGTTCATTAAAATATTACTAGATTATAAGATAATAATTTAAAATAATTTTTTACCCTAAATTAATTAATAATTAAGTGCTAATCTTAGATAGATTAGTCATTAAGCAGGTTTAATTTAAGGGTTACTAGTGCAAAATCAGTTTAAAATAAAATGTAATTTATTAACATTGTTCTTAATAGTGCTAAAATCTCCCTATTCCCTCTGTTATCAATTTACAGAGTTGCCATATCGAATAGGCATTCTCATGGTCAAACAAACGAATAAACGAACGAACGAACAATAAAACAAGCAAATAATCAACAAACAACATGCAACAACATATAACAACAACATACAACAACATTCTTAGTTCACAACGTAAATAACGTTTAATAGTAGTATAAAACATCAAGCGATATAAAATAAAATTTAACTTCTCTAAATTTTCCCCAATTTTATCTACTTTACCTTTAATTTCAAACTTCGATAGCTCTTGCTACGAAGTATTCTATTTATTTCAACTTTAAAATTTTGATAATTTTCTTTACAAAAGTGTATATTTTAATTCATCTTATAATTATCATTTTATTCAATTAAAATTAATTAAGCGAATATTAATTAAAGTTTAGGGCGAACCTATTACCTTTAATTAATATTATACTTTATTAACAAATAATTAAAATTAACTATTCTAAATTACATTGTGGATGAGATTTCAATGATTTCTTGGATGAGAGATATGGAATTACTTTGAATTCTCCTCTCTATTTAAACAAATTTTATGCTACTTTCTATTCTAATATGTGCTGTCTATATACTATCTTTTATGTTCTTTTTACATATTATCTTTGTACTATCTTTCTAATATGCTATTTTTTTAATATACTATTTTTAATACGCTATCTTTTAATATACTATCTTTTAATATGTTATCTTTTAATATACTATCTTTTAATATGTTATCTTTCTATTTTTAATATGTTATATGTCATCTTTTATGTTTCATCTTTTTAATATACTATCTTTCTGTTTAAATATGTTATATTCCATCTTTTACGTTCCATCTTTTTAATATACTATCTTTCAATATATTTCTATTTTTAATATGTTATGTTCCATCTTTTGTGGCTTATATCTTTCCGTATTATCTTTTATGTCATCTTTTATATTATATTATCTTTTATATTATCTTTTATATTATCTTTTTATATTATCTTTTTATATTATCTTTTATATTATTATTTTTATGTATTTTCATTATGCGTGTTCCTTTAGTCCGCTATCCCTCCATTTTATATAATTTATCTTTTGTGACTTATAATTATTCCTTCTAATTGTTCTTATTGTTGAACTCAATAAACTGGTTGCTAAGCCGCAATTGATCAACTCCCTACTCAATCTATTGGTTCCTTGTTAATCATTCAATAAATATTACATCATGTAGATCATTTCTCTTCTTAAATGTTTATCCTTTTCAGCTAATCATTTATCTATCTACGCCAATTCATAATTAATTTGTTCGTTCTTAATATTTGGCAATTATATTTGGTGATTGAATTTTATCATCTTTTCATGCTTGATATTTGACCGTTTACAGTGCTGCCCAAAATTATTTTCAGATTCTGAAATATTTCAGGTTTTTGGTTTATTCCCAAAATTCTTTCTGAAATTTCTGAAATCTACTTGAAATTCCCAAAATATGATGAAATCCCTAATCATTTTTATTTATCACTATTTTTGTTTAAAAATACTTTTTTTTTATAATAAATTACGTAAAAAATTAATTATGCCTATATTAGGTAGATGTCTAAATAATTGGTTATCAGATTAGATTTTAGCGAACTTTTTTTTTATTTCCATTTTAAATTTTTTTTCCTTTACAACCGATAAGTATGCCACTTAACAAAACCAATAAAAGAACTAGACAAATAGAACCTGAACAAAACTTTAAAAGTAAAGTTGAACGTCCACAAGACTTGATATGGAAACATTTTATCAAAACCCCTTTATCAATTGCTGGCCACTTTGCAGCCGAATACCTTTATTGTGAAAAAAAGTGGACACGTGGATAACTACAAGAATTTCAGGTAAGGTTGCTTGTCTAAACCTCTTCAAAATCCTACGATTAGTTTCGTCAAAATTTTACTATAGATTTATTATAGTTTTGGCAGAGTTTTGGCAGTTTTGGCATTTATAATAAGTTTCGGCAGTTTCGCCTTTCTCCAAAGTTTCGCCAGTTTTTTAATATAACTTTAATATAGTTTTGGCAGAATTTCGCTTTTCGGTGAAACGCCATCTTGCCTAAACCCCTAGGTTTCGGCAAGCAACCTTAACTTCAGGTTCATCTTGCTAAAAATTGTCTTAATGTTGATGAGCAAACAAAGAAAGAGTATATTCAAAAAATCCTGCAATTATATAATGATGATGACATAGAAGATAATAAACACTTTCAAATTGAACAATTAAATATTACCGATTTTTAGGATGTTGATCAAAATAGTGTTGAATTATTATTAAAGTAGAAATAGAAAGCAATTGACCAATGTTTACTTAAAGCATTTGTATGCTACAGTACTCCTTTCGCAGTTGTTAAAAATCTGTTTTTTGTAGATTTGATTATAAAACTTCAACCCAGTTACAAGTTACCTTCTCGTAAAAAATTAGCAGGAATCATGCTTTCTCACGCAGTAGTAAAAATTGAAGATCAAGTAAACTCTATTCTTGAAAAGGTAACAAATTTAACATTAGGTAATTAATTTTTTAAAAAAATTTACATACTACATCATATTTATAAAAACTTACCATTCTTTACTTTTTAATTTTAGGCTTAGACAGGTGGATGAACCCATCAGGTCACTTGATTTATAATTTCATAATAATGACTTATGATCAGTGCAAATTCTTATATCGACTTTGAGATCTTTCAATCATAAAACATATGGCCCAAAATTTAGCAAGTGAAATCAAAGATGTACTTCAAAAAATTGGACCCGATAAATTTGCAGCAATTGTAACAGACAATGCTGCAAATTGTGCTCTTGCTCAAAGTATTATAAGTGAAAAATACCCATTTATTGTTAACATTCATTGCATTGCACATTGTGTGAATTTAATCACTAAAGATGTATTTGGTAAATTCTTGTTAATTTTTTTGAACTATTTTATTAATTTGCTAAATATTCTTGTTATTAATAATTAAATATTAATTATATCATTTAAAAAAATAGAACACAATTTTCCGAAAAAAGTTTTAAAATCATGTAACAAAATAGTAAAATTTTTTAACAAATCTCACCAAGAAAAGGCTCTATTGGTAAAGTACACTAAAAATTTTAATATTGAAAGTGGAGGACTTAAAATTTGGGTTGAAATGTAATGGATGACAATGTTTGATGCTGCAGATTCTGTTTTACGTTTAAAACTGGCATTAGAAAAGGTAATTAAGAATATTAATTTATCTTTTATTAATTTGCAAAAAGAATTAAAATATTTTAAAATAAATTAATAGATCACAGATAATCATAAGGATGTTGTTAAAGAAAATATAGTAAAAATAATTACCTCTCGTGGATTTTTTTATGACGTTAATATAGTATTAAAAGTATTAGAGCTGCTAAAAAAGACCATTTTGTCTGTTGAAGCGTCTAATACTACTTTTACTGATTATTTTATTGCATTAATTCGTCTAGCAAGTATTATTAAGAAGATTCCAGTTGAATGAGGTTTAATTAATTTTCGAAATCATGTAATAAACTTTATCAATAAACGTTGAGAATCTTTTGATGTTATGCCATATATATTAGCATATTTCCTTCATCCTGGTTATCAAGGTAAATATTTAATATTATTAAATATTGAAGGTAAACATAATTTTTTTTTTTTTTAAAAAAAAAATATTTATTATTAGGTAATGGATTAAAGAATATGTGGACGAAAATTTCAGAGTATGTGCAAAAGTTATGGGAAAATATGGGATATAATATTGATGACCAAAAAATATTAATTACTCAAATGCTGAATTTTAAAGCTAAACAAGGTACTTATTCAATAGCATTTGTTAAAAATTGGGTTACACCTTGTACATGGTGGATATCATGTGAAGATCAACCTCCTTTTTTGAGAGATCTGACGTTAAAAGTATACTTTTCGTCAAAATGACAAAATACTAATTAAATTTATTTTGACAGATGTAATGTATTTTAACAGACGTAATTAATTCATAGTAATTTTATAATAAATAGTGAATTAGTCCGTTCGCCAAAATATAACATAATTAATTAGTGGAGAAATATAGTTAAAAGTATTTGCAGTAACACCGCATAGTGCTTCATACGAAAAAATGTTTTTTGTATTAGGATGATTATACAAAAAAAGGATGACTTTGGATACTAATACGATTGAGTTAATAGCCAAAATTCGACACTTTTATCAAAATAATAATATGCGTTTAGCTGAATCTAATTCAAGACAAAATAATGATAATATTCAAAAATTAATTGATGAATCGGCATTTTTTGAAATTGAAAATGATAATGATGATCATGAAGGTGAAGGTGGTTATGAAGAATATTTTGAAGAAGTTGAAATTCCAAAGTATAATGTATATGTATTAATTGAAAAATACCGTATATTTCTGATATTAAGCACATCTTGAAAATAAGCACTTCTGGCCAGAATTATGAAAATTTTGGCCTACGTTATGCTGTTACTGGCCAGTATTATGGTCAAAAGAAGTGCTTAATTTCAGAAGTATATGGTATGTTGATTTAGCAATTTTGGAAAATGATAAATGAATAAATTAATAAATATAATTTATCATGATAAATTTCAAATAAAATAAAGCTTTATTTTGTAAAAATCATAAAGTCAGTAAATTATTAATTCGTGATCCGTTTTCAAACTAATGAAATCTACTAATACATTTTGGAAAATTATTTTGCAAATTAATTTAATGGGAAATTCAGATAAGAGCAATAGATATAGCACACAGGAAATGTGAAATGAACTTACAAATTATTAGAGAAAAGTAGTTTAGAAGAACTGCAAAATTACTAGATACATCGCTCAATATAAGCAAAATATAGTACGACCTGTGTTTAATAGAAATAAATAATTTTAATACTTTTTTTTGTTTTTTCTTATTTATAACCTTTAAATAAATTATTTACCAGCAAATAAATAACATTTTAATAAAAAAATATCAATTTTGTGATTGTTACACCTAAGGTTGCCTGCCTAAATCTCTCCAAAATTCTACAATTAGTTTCTCCAAAATTTTACTATAGTTTTATTATAGTTTCGGCAAGGTTTTGGCAGTTTCGGTATTTATAATAAATTTTATCAGGTTTCGCTTTTCTCCAGAGTTTCACCAACTTTTTAATAAGGCTTTCATATAGTTTCAGCAAAGTTTTACTATTTCAGCATTTCACCAACTTGCCAAAACCCCCTAGTTTCTCCAGCAACCTTAGTCACACCTCTTATATTGAATAATTATGGCATTTTTAAAGGCCGGAATCCAGTGTCGCTAAAGAAAAAATTTTTTAACTAATCATTCAATATAAAAATATTTGATGAATCCTGATTCCCTTGGTTTTAAGCAATTGGTTACACTATTTTTCAGTTGGGTTATAATACAAATTTGGCTGGTTACTTTTTAGGCAATATCGCTAATTTGTATAACAATGTAGCCTTAAATGGCAAGTATATGTTGATCAAACTTATGATATTAATATTTAACGATGCAAATTTATCATTTAATATATCCAGAATATTATTATATGATACTTAAAGAAAAAAATTCTGGGCAAATCAGCTCAAAAGCCATTTAAGTGATAATTGATTTGTAAAGCCAGTTCCCCAAAATTTATTAGTAGTTTTTACTGATTCAAAGATGGATCACGAATTAATTATTTAATTATAAAACAGTTTTAATAATTTTGGGTAATATTGGTAATTTAGGATAATTTCAGTAATTTCGGGATTGACCAATTTTCTGAAACTAGTTTTACCATTTTGGTTTTGTCAGGTAACCAAAACTTTCTAGTTTCAGGCAGCACCATTAATTACACAGACACGTAAAATTTTATTACACAAACACAAAAGTATCAGACGTGATGCTAACTTGACCCTTCTGCATGCATTTTATCGATCCTATTCATAGAGTATTGTAAAATTTATGTGATCGATAACGTGCATATAGCAGGTCAAGATGACACCCTCAGAAGGATCAAGTCTAATACTTTTGCTATACAAACACGTAAATTTATTATATTTATTTATTTATTTTTAGCATAAGTTCATTACACAGACACGTAAAATTTTATTACACAAATACAGACACATACAAATTTATTACACAAACACATGAAATTAAAAAAATAATTATGTAAAAAAGAATTTTTTATAGATATTTGTGTAATATAAAAAATTATAAAATGCTATTAATATCTAGAATGTTTGTAAAAATATATACAAAATAAAATGTACTGCAATATTTTGATGTAAAAATCATATGTAGTATAAATTATTAATGTCAAAATTGTCGTAACTGCAGTAACTATACTTGAAAAACATTTAATTTTTGATAAAATTTATCTTTTTAAAGTAAAAAATGAAAAGGATGGGTGGTTGGGAGTGGTAAGTAAGATAAATTAAAGTTATTTTTTATTATTTTTTTTTTTTGTCAAAAAATAATATATATATTTGTAATTATTGATCAATTTTGAACTTATTTTAAATAGAAACTTTTTTACTTTTTTTTAAAATAATTATATCTAAAAATTAGGCCAATTTTAAAAGAAATAAAAAGTATTAAATATATAAAATAAATTATGTTTTATATAATCTATAATTATAAATGTTACTGAACTTATAAAGTAAAAATATATATGATTTAAAAATGTAATTGGAAAGGTAGTAAAATTACTTGGTAGAAGGAAAATTTGAAGTAAAGTAAATTTACATATAAATCTTAAAAATTTTATGGTGACCTCTATTAGAAGTAAACGGGATCCTATAATGATACAATTTGCTAACAAGATATGCTAGTAAAACATAATTCTATACTAATGATAAAAGGAATTAAGGATATTCAGTTTATAGATGAGTTCTTAGGGTTAAATAGAAATGAAATATATAGACAACCAGAATTATTGGAATTAATAGATTGGAAAATATCTTTGAAATTAAATTGTTTAAATCAACATATACATTATTTGAGAATCATTTTCTACAATCATTTAGAATCAAAATCTGTTATAATGAATTACTAACATATGTAAATCTTAAAAAACGGAAACTGGATATTTATGATGAAAGTTGAAAATGTAATTTTTGTGGTATAGAAGAAGAAATGATTAAACATTTATAGAGATGTAATAAAATTTATGACATCGTGCAGCATATTATAGTTAAAGGATTTAAATTATTTTTAGTAGATATAATTTTTGAAATTTCAAAACAGACATTAATAATAAGTTAAACATAAAGTCGAAGAATTAGATATATGGGATCTTAATAGTTTATATGATTTTACATTTTTATTAAAAAATCAAGTGAGTTACCAATTGGTTGATTTATTGAAGTTATATAAAATAATAGATACAAACTAAGGTATTGGAAAAAATGTTAAAACTAATAATTAGTAAAATAATTTTAGATTTTAAAATATTGATTTGGGAATATAGGAATGAATTACAAGTAGAAAAAAAGAAAAAATGTAATATTAATAGTAAAATGAAAAAAATGAAGTTGAATAATAAGAAACGTGAGGATAATAATGTTTATGTAGTAAACTTTAATAATGAGATTAATTGGAACAAATGGAATGATTTAGCATTCCATTAGGGTGGTCATTGGGCAAATTTTTAGGCAGATCTTGACAGTTACCTGAGAATTTTGGTTGTATAGTGCATAACATCTAAAGGCATCAAATAAAATTAGTGATTTTAAAATGTTAACTACTTAATAAAATTTTATGATAATTGAAAATATAAACTGATAATATTATACTTTAAGTTCTTCTCTTTCAAATTATCGGATTATTTTTTCCATAACTGTCATATTTCAGGAGCTATTAAGATTTAAAGTTGATGTATTTTCATATTAATTTATATAATTTTATATGTAAATGGGAAAAATTCAGAATTTTTAATCACGTGAAAATGATTTTAAACAATCATATTAATTTAATTTATAATACATAAAATGATCAACATCTTTATTACCAAATTTAGTAATAATCTAACTTTATTTAGTAATAATCTAACTATATTTAGTAATGATCGGCATAAAAATAAATTTCAGACTATTGATGCCTTTAAATGTTATGCACCATATCTAAGGTTGCTTGCTGAAACCTAGGGGTTTAGGCAAGATGGCGTTTCGCCGAAAAGCGAAATTCTGCCGAAACTATATTAAAGTTATATTAAAAAACTGGCAAAACTTTGGAGAAAAGCGAAACTGCCAAAACTTATTATAAATGCCGAAACTGCCGAAACTCTGCCAAAACTATAATAAATCTATAGTAAAATTTTGACGAAACTAATCGTAGGATTTTGAAGAGGTTTAGACAAGCAACCTTAACCATATCATCATTTTTAACAGTGATATGATCATTTAGGTGACAGGTCAACTTTTTCTTCAGAAAAGTAGTCTTGTTTCATAATGCTTAGTTCTTATATATATTTGTTATCTTATTTTAAGTTTATGTATGTAAGTAAGCGTAGTAATATTAAAACAAAATTGCATCTATAAAAAATTAAAAAAATAATAATAATAATAAAATAAATAAAATACAAATAATAAATAAATTAAATAAATTAAATTAAAATAAATTAAGAAATGGAGAAATCAAAAAATTGAAAAATTGAGGGATCATTACATGAAATTACTGTGTTACATTTTCCTATTGGCTATTTTGTAATTAAATTTAATATGTACATAGTTCAAAAATCATAATCCAGAGCTAATAGTCAACGATTTTGAATTATCCTTATTAATTTTTAATGATTCAACGGCCAGGCTTCGGTCAAATTATGAAATTTTTATGATAGTCATTACCAAAATTTTATTTTTTTAATTTTCATGGAAATTCCATGGAATTTACTAAATTAACTTTCCCTAATGATGCCATTTGCTAATGTACATGTAACGTTGCT